CCGCAAGGTAGTCATCTTGGCCCGATTCTGTTCTTGTTGTTTATTAACGATATCTCTTCAGTAATAAAATTCTCAAAAATTGTATTATACGCTGACGACGTAAAGCTTTTTAAATCATACACTTCAATTGAGGAAAGGTGTCTGTTCAAACAGACTTATTCAATTTGGTTGCATGGTGTGATAGAAATAATTTGCTATTGAATTTGAATAAATGTAAGACGATGTGCTTTTCCCGTAGATCTGTGCACCCCTCTTCTTATGTAATAAAACACCATACTCTGGAGCAAGTTTTTTAGCTATGTTGATTTGGGAGTTAATATGGACCCTAAGCTTAATTTTTGTCTTCATATTGACACCATGGTCTTGAAAGCAAAAGCTGTCCTCAGTTTTGTTAAACGTTGGTCTAAAGAATTTAGAGATCCGTATATTACTAAAACACTTTATACAACTTTAGTTAGACCTATATTGGAACATGGCTCTGTTGTATGGAACCCTAACTACCAAATCCATTCTGACAAGTTAGAGTATGTTCAAAAACAATTTTTACTTTTCGCCTTAGCGCATTTCCGATGGGATTCTAGGGTAAGTGTAGTAATGGAAGTAGACCATACACTAGTCGTTTAAAACTAATTAATCTACCTACACTCTCTAGTCGTAGGGAAATGCTTGGCATAATATTCTTTGTGAAAATCTTGAATGGAACAGTTTGCAGTTCTTTTCTCCTGTTTGAAATTAAATTTAATATCCCGATTCGCTTTTCGAGGCAGTTTAGACCTTTACTGTTAAAATGCTGTAGATCAAATTTTGAACTAAACGAGCCATTCCGCCGTATATGTCATGATTTTAATTCTGATTCCAGCACATTTGACTTATCTGACTCACTTTTCAAAATTAAAAATACTTTATTGTTTTCTCTTAATAAATGAGCTTGGCTGTTGAAATTTTTGTTTCTGTAGCTGAGCAGTTTTAGATCTCAACACTTAAAAAACTCTCTTGCCTTTTCTGACTCGGCTAATTCCGCACGTATGCGGATTGCGCCCCTCGCGTCGGTTGGGCGGGAGGAGGGTAATCGTTGGGTTATTATTAAGAATATTTATATTGGCTTGTGAAAACCTATCTTAGCTCGTCTATTGAACTAAGGAAAATGCCAGTTCATCGTTTTTTTGAAGGGAAACTTCTAATGGGAATTCGGAAAAGGTTGCGTTAAACGTTTAACGCGCAGTGGTTAGAGTGTTTGTCCACTATTGAGTACAGAAAAGTGAGTGAAGCTCACATATATACCAGCAAAATTATGAAGCGCATTTGTTCAACCGCGTTTAGCGCAGCAGAGCAAGAAATTCCGAATCACCACTGTTTAAATGAGTATAAACTCCTCCCGCCAAGTACACCACTTTACCCGGAAAATAATGGCACACCCTTGTATAACCCACTACAATACACCACACTCATACATCACCACACGGGACAACACAACACACCACAGCATCGCGCCTGTACACCACCACAAAAAGGATGGTCTCCGCAGCAGATAGTCCTCATTCGAAATATTAACGATTCTGCGCGCAACTCGACTTTTTGCTTATACACCTGATTTGACTAGGTAGTGATGCTGCGCGCAATTCCTTTTCAATTCGCTGACAACCATTGGACACTGTTACCTCCGATTCTGATCGATTTTTATTAATTTGTATAAACTTTATTATTGTTATTTTACATAAAGTTGTGGTTAAGTTTAACGGATACCTTTATTGTAAAGTTTGAATAAAATATAAATCCCGGTAAATTTGGTACGCAAATAAACAACCACTAAAATTTTCATTCCGCTATTCTATCTAGCTACTTTAAACAAGCTGCTTGTGTGCTGAACAAAGCATACTCCGGGGCGAAGCTTAGCCATTGCACTTCGGCTGAGTTGACCTTCGCGATTATTCGTAATGAGAATAACTCGTTGGTGTAATCTTTGGTAGTCGGTACAGTCGGTAGTACAAATACAATTTGTGTGGTTTTGGAAAAAGAAAAAGAATAATGTCAAATGAGGAATTTTGTCAACTTATGCGACCAACCAACGGGGAAAAATTATCAATTTTACTACAAACTATTCATTATTTAACATCACAGCAACTTAAACCATTATTGATATTCCTGACGGGCCTAGCCGGATGTGGAAAAATATTCGTCATCCATCTCATCATGAAAATCTATAACTAATATGGAACCACTATCGCACATTGCAATGCTTACCTGACATGTGCTTCATAATGCTTGGTCGTTATCAACCAGTATTGATAATGGTTTGAGTTCTGAAACATTACAGCAATTCAGATCACTGTTCCAACACATTCGCTTAATTTCGATTGACATTGTATGGTTTGCGCGGAGCTCTTAGAAAGAATCGATAGAATATTAAAACTAATAACAGGAAAAGCAGATACGTTGTCGCGGGCTCGAGGTTATTCTAGTTGGAGGTCTGTGGCAACTTCCATCTGTCGAATCTGCACCAATTTTTAAGCAATCGGTGGTTAACAAACTTGGAAACGAACTCGTCCAAGTCATGCTGCAAGCAAATGTTGTGTTTTCGACAATATTAACTTAAATTGGGAATGGAGATCGACTGAATGATGAAGAACTCATCCTAGTGGAATAAAAATTTGTAACAGAAGAAGAAGCTGATCGACTATACCCTCATGGAATACGTCTGGCGTATTCCAACCAAACCATCGAGAGATACAACCATCAAGTATTAGGAAATCACCAAGATCAGATTATATCTGAAGCCGTAGACTTCATCTTAGAATGTGAAAATGATGAGCAACTTGAAAGTGCGCGTAAAGCTCTTGACATGAAAAAATTACCTGCTAACACCGGTGGATTACTACAACGACGAACACTCGTCATGGGGCAGTATTACATGATAATGGATTAGCAAACGGTGCCATAGGAAAATTGATAAAACTGGGGTAAAAGCTTGTATGGAGCCACGTACATTCGTTACAGCGAACAATATTAATCCTTAAGCTGTTCCCATTGGTCGTCGAAATGCAACTATTTATCTTAATATACAAAAAAGTATTTCAACTAAAAGGAACCACTATTCATTCACACCAGCATGTGAATTGACGATTCTTTCAATGAAGCAGTATAGTACTATTAAAAGGTTCAATCTCAACAGTTAGTTTACGTTGCCATGTCGAGAGTTGTTTTTATTGAAGGCTTGTACATCATTACAGTTAACAAACACAAGAAATTTTACCATTGTATAAATCTGCAAGTAACCAATCCTAAGATTTTCGCTAATACACACGCACAAATGTCACACTTGGAACGGGCTGCCTAGTTATATTCTACTACTAAAGTCACACTTGGTATGGGTTGCCAACCAATATTCTACTACTAAAACGTCCAAATGACACAAATCAGCTATAGTGTGTTGCCGTGTTAAGTTTTTAAATTTATAACTTTAAGAATGTTTTCATTACATATTCAAATATTTTTCGGTTGTTATAATTCGTAAAGATTCAATTTACATAGTATTATTTATTGTATTGAAATATTATTTAATGTTTCCAATTTTATCAAAAATATTATTGTGATCGGTAACGCGCCAATCTTGCAACCTCAGAGGTGGTGAGGAAAAGCAATAAAACTCATTTGTTTCGATAATATTCTTGAAAGTTTTCATTATTATTTCCTTTACGAATACATGTTCATAAACAAATTGTTAAACTACATCCTTTTATTTAAAAATCTGTGTCAAAAAAGGCATATTCGATCAGGTGATCACAGCTGTTTCACACACATAGGAAAACAGCTGATTCTTTGGTTACTTGTAGGCTTATACAATGAATTTTACATTGGATACGTTTGTAATGATCGGTTGTGCGTTGCTTTGCGATATCAGATAATCAAATTGCGGGGAAATCCAATTTGCACATTAGATAAACATGTATTCGACTTTATTAACTCGAAAAAAAGACATTTCGACAATGGTATATAAGTGTCGAAGTTTTCGTGCACACCGTAATGATTTCACCGATCGAGTCTTCAAAAATACGAATATTTTGATGTTATCTGAAACGTTTATGAGCGATGAAGAACCTCCTGTACAAGTATCAAATTTTGAATTTGTTGTGAGATTTCTACGTAATGAAATTCGAAATTCAGGTGTTGCCATCTATCGTAATGAAAAGAACAGATATAACGTTCTTACTCCTCATTTGCGAATAAAACCAGAGAACGTATATCATAGAGAAGGTTCAATGGCGGACCAGCGTGTGAATTGTCAAAACCTAACAAGATTTTATTAGTGAATTTTACCTCATCTGGCTCGGAAGGAGAAATTTTAACAGAAGTGAGTGAACAGAGCTGAGCATTCAATGAAAATTATGCTCAGAGACTTGCATTGATATTACAGCCGCATGTTACTCTTTTGGCTTATATTCTTATACGTTTATATGCAATCATATTTATTGATATGAATATCATTTTGCGAATTTTTATGAATGCTTGCAAAACTGATAAGACTCTAATTAATTAATTAAATCTAAGTAATTTTAAAAATATTATATATAGTCAATTTGGGAATTTAATGATTTTATTTAGTTTTTACATAATATACTTTCCTAATAGAGATTAAATTTATTACAATATATGTATATGTACATATGTACATCTTTTATCATATTAATCTTATATACAATCATATGTATATCTGCACAAGCGTAATTATGAATTAGCGGAACCTTGGCATCTCTGATTGTAACTTGACTTGGCATCACTGAATAAAATTATTAAACATATCTGCTGAAGGTTTCGCGCGCATAAAATAAGCTTGTGTATGAAACGTCTATTGACAATAAAATAGGCTTTGATAATGGATTCTAATTTAGGTCGAGGTTTTTATGAGGTTTATAATTCCTCGAAAGAAATACTAAAAAATAATCAAACGCACTTGTATTGTAATGTGAGTATATAATTATTAATATTTGGTAGTATATGTGAACTTACGTTTAATTTTTAGATGTTGGATTTGCTAGCCAACACGAGTAAAAGCACTCCTTCATCTGCAATTGGAAAGATTTGTTCTGTTGATGAATTAGTACGTTTTTGGGTAGAAGATATACTTCCGCTAGCTTTTGATGACAACTCGACGATACAGGGCAGTGCTGTATCAGCTTTGGAACAAGGTTTATTAACTTTAGATATTGGCAATATTCCAAATCATAGTTGTTGGAATAATTTAAAAAATGCAATTGTGAAGGAATTTGCATCCCGAGTGCACCAACTTCGAGAAGACCGAAATCAATATTGGCATCGAATATGGTGTATACTTGTTCGCCTGTTGGATCGCGAAATCTTGAAAAGTGCAAGCACTATAAATTTGTTTCTTTCTATTGTTGAGCTTGGATTTCGTAGTCCAGATAACTCAGTAAGAGCAGAAGCGTTTACTTGTTGGCATCTACTAATTCAAATCTTTGCAAATCATAATCAGTTATCATCTCCCAAGCGGTTAAAACTTGTGTGTATTCCTCTAAAATCATCACAGTCTAAAACGCCTTATGTCGCTGCTGTAAAATTACGTATTTGGTGGTATTTGATAACATGTTTAGGTCCACAAAGTGAGGATAACTTTGAAAATGTTGTTGAATCATTTTTAGTATTTTGCTTTGGGTCGCAATCAAAAAGCTCTCTAGGAATAGCCCAGCAATACATTTCTGTACGAGAATTGGCATTGACATGCCTAGTAGCCATAGTGTGCAAAGGACGGGATGAATTTGTACAAAAACTATTGCGGGAATACGAGTTAGAATTCATGTGTCAAGATACGCAATTGATAACTTCAATAATTGTTGAAAAACATTGGAAATCAATATTTTATGCTATTTTGGAAGCCTCGAATTTGATTGTCGAAAGTGAAAAACGGAGTGATATTGAACAACGACTGCTAAATATACTGACCAAAAGTGCAACTCGCATAATGATTAATAATGATATGTCTGTATCATATGAGTATTATTGTTTCAGCTTAATCCAAATGATTGCAAAAAGCAGTAGTCCTATAACAATAGCAGCTAATATAATTGCAACTGAAGGACTTCGTTTATCACGTTCTATCCTGGATTTTGAAAATTACATTAAAATAATACAATGTTTGGTAAAATTTTTAACCACTGGAAAAGATTTTCTTTTTTCTAATGTTATTCAGCAGTGCACCGGTAAAATATCTAATTTAGATGCTTTTCTACCAAACCAACTTTGTTGGCGTGCTGTGGAGTTGGTAGCTGATTATTTCATCAATACACCAAATGATGAAGGTTTTGAGTACTTTGAAGTAAAATTCCTTATATGGCGTAATATTTCTTCGGAAATGGTAAATTTATTAAGAAATAACTCCTTTGGTCGTACAGCGCAGGAGTTCGTTCATTCATTAATATCCTGGAGTTTATGGCCGTTACGCATGGTAATTGAATTTACTGGATATCGCAATAATTCTATTTTTGATGAACAGTTCTATTTGCTCTGGCATAATCTGTTACAACTTACAGAAAACACTACTGGTAGATCACAGCAATTGAATGAAACAGGGAACGTTTTAAACGCTATTTTAGATACTGGTTATGAATCTGAAGTTTTTATTAATCTTCTTAATGCGTATGCGGATGAAGTGATCAAACATGATTCCAACAATTATTCGACACACTTTGAACAATTATTTGCTCTCCTAAACAAGTTGATTAAAAAACAAATGACAAAAAGAGAAAAGGAAAAATTGCTTACAATTTTTCGATGTGTTCTCCACGGTTTAAAATTACCTGAAAGTAGCTCTCTGGTGGAGGCCATTATATCTACACTTAAAGATGCTATAAACATGTCATCAAAAGACGGCGTAGATTCAAAGTTTTATGAAGAGTGGAAACATTCTGTTATAAATATTACTCGTGCTTCCCTGAGTAAAAATTTCGCAACTCAGGTTTTAGATTTATTTAAAGATGACGTGTATGTCATCATACCATCGGTATGGAGCCTTAAGCCGGAAAAACTAACAGATAGACAAAAGGAGCGCATAGCAGAAAAGACAAACATACCAGCACTATATAACGATATGAGTCAGTCGCAGGATTCGTTAATAAAACCTTGGACACCTAAAAAAATAGTTATAGCTAAAGAGGACCAAAACGAAATTGTTATAGAAGACCCCTATACACGGCAGAAACATTCCATTGAAAACAGTTTCTTTAGAGTACCAAATTCCACCTCCGATGCAAAGTATCTAAATAATGATTCAATATTTTTGGGGAAATCCAGGAACAAAAACCAAGATTGTTTTGAGGATCTTCCTAACAGCACGGCAGATAAAAGTATCGATCGAAACATTATAGAAGTTATTGAAAATGTAAATTCTTCATCTCTACAAATTGAGGTAGACAAAATCGACAACAAGCAGGTAAGTGTTAATTTATAAAGCATTAATATAACTTTTGTTGCAAACTTATAACATGAAACAATGCATTAGTAAAGAATTATTGGTAAATGTATAAGTTAGGTCCCCCAACGAAGGAGGTCGCGAAATAAATAATTTTTCTTAAATCGTCTTATTTTGACGCGAAGATAACAAATCCGTAAGCGGAAAGTAAATTTTTTCAATAATTCTATTCTTTTGTAGTGTGACAGTATAGTATGGGTGAACTGGCTGACGAGTTGGCCCGCTCTGCAGCCTCCACGAAAATGGTAGGACCAGAACCATGCGTGGACCAACCGCTGTCCACACACCATTAAAGCGCTGCTCCGTAAAGAGGAAAGAGCAGGAAGGGAGAGACATTGGCAACATCTCCAAGGCATGCGTCATGCCAGGTTGTTGTTGGGGGGTTATGACCTCACGGTTTAAAACCGTAATTAATCTCCCGAGTAATAACTTTCGGCTACTTGTCGCGTTCCACACCGGACAATGCAGGCTCAATAAGCCTTTATTCAACATGGGCTTAGTCTCTTCTGCAAACTGCCGGTTCTGTGACATGGAGCCGGAAACCCCTGAACATCTGCTGATGAACTGCACAGCAGTCTGCAGACGCAGAATTAAGGTCCTGCGATCCATGTTTCCAAACAGGGATCGCATCGCTTCACTAGCACCCAGAAGAATATTGGAGTTTATCAATATGCTGGGGCTAGATGAGTCGTTGTGACTTAAGGGAGAGCACAATAGACCATAGGTTATGGTGCATACCTCTATCCATATCTATCTATCTATGGATGTGCGAAGTAATTTTCAAAATACCCTTATTTTTTTTTATTAAAAAATACTATAAATTCGTATTTGGACATACATATTGCACTCATTTTTCAATTAACTTGTAATTGTTGTAATGAATTTTGAATTTTTTTAAAAGGTACTTATTCATCAATATCTATTTTATCCCCTTCAAAGTTATCCCCCTCGAATATAATACACTTGTACCTACGCTTTTTCCAATCCTCTAAGCACTTCTGAAATGCGCTTTTCGGCTATCAGTTCTGACTTTATGTTGTTGTTGTTGTTATTGTTGTTGTAACGGTTACCTAGTCGCCGTTTGGGTGATAAATTCCAGTTTCGTTGTCGTCGAGGTCATCTAACGGGAGGCCCAGGAAACGAGCTGTTTCGACGGGGTCGGACCATAGGAGAGGGTGTTAGATGATGGGGTTTGCTGCAAAGAGGTGGTTAGTGTCATGCGGAGACTCATTGCACGCAGGACATGTGTTATGTCGGGGTCTATTCTGGATAAGTAGGAGTTTAACCTGCCACAGTATCCAGAACGAAGTTGCAAGGGTCACTCTAGATTCACGGCAACCTGAGCTCTACGTCTGCGATGAGTGGTGGTTTGACTCCTAGTACGCCATTCACGAGAGGGATCGGTGAAGGTGTTGATGGCTCCACCGAATGGCGTAATCAAGGAAGGACCCTCTTAGGACGACCGGCGATTGCTTTGTAGTTGCCAACAAAGTTTATTTGTATTTTCCCAAGAGCTGTCGGCAAGCGACTTAGATTTGTGCGGCTCTGTACTTGGCAGTTATCGCGGTCGCGTGAGGAGTGAAAGAGCACAGACTGTCCAAAGTGACGCCTAAAATTTTAGGTAGTTGATATGTCGGAATGTTTGTGCCATCGACTGAAATGTTCAGGTCCAGTCTGTACTTCTTCGTCAATTTGTGAAGATAGTCGCTGTGGATTTAGTGGAGAGAGTGTTAGGTCTCTTGCAGAGAAGAAGCTAGAAAGATCGGAGAGATAGCTTTTTGAACACATGCCATCGATTCATTCCGACGCAATACGTACAGTCATCAGCGTACGAGGTCACTGAAACCTGCTGGTGGGGTAGTTTCGAAATATAAAAATTTTAACAGTAGTGGAGAGAGGACAGCCCTGCGGAACCCCTGTTAATTTTCATAGTTGGAGTTTGACCTCGAAACAGTGATGAATGACGCTCAGGTAGTTCAGTACCACCGCTTCAGCCTGAGTGAGCAAGCGAGTTCTGGGTCCTCGCAGCGTTGTGTGATTGATCGTCACAAAGCTTGACAAGTCCAAACGCCGAGAGGACGTCCTCGCAGGGTGGCTTCTGTTCAGGCCAGAACTATCTGGGCGTTATGCGACCAGTGCTGTGGTGGTACTGTGCACTCGGAAGCCAGCGCGATGATCTGCTAATCAGGTAGAGGAATGACGGCGTAACGAGGCTCAGCGTCTTCCACTGGGGAAGGAGAGATCAGACGGATGACCTTGTGGCAGTTTCCGGAGGCTCGTAAATGACCACTCTTCCGACTTTCCTCACATCGGGTATTTGGCACATGCAACTGAACGAAGCAA